AGGCGGAGGGAGAGGGGAAGCAGGGGAGGAGAGGGGGGTGACTCGAGGGGATGGAAATGAGGTGGGTGTTCTATCCTCAGCTCAAAGACTGCTGTCAAAACTTATTGTTTATTGAAACGTAAGTGAGCCCACATAAACATTAATAATGTTTCCGTAACTTTTAACGAACGTATGAGAACATGGCTGCACATCGGAACTTTTGTTTGAAGTGTAGGTGTTTGAACGCCCCCCTTCGACACTATTTAGGAGTAAAAAAAACCCCAAAAACTTAAATATGGGATTTATTTTTGTAGCACTCATCCAATTATTTCTTGGACAATAATGATGAACTCAGTACTAGAGCAACCATTTGGATGAAAACCTTGTACACTGTCCATGCCAGTCTCGATCAAAGGCACTTTTCAAAGACTGCTCTGTATAAGGGACAACCCCCACATCTCTCTATTCTAGCAAGTTATCGATATCTCCACAGTTAAAGAATCCACAAACACTGTAACTAATACCAGTGGATAATTTCAACAAATGTAGTAGCATTAAATGTCGCCCCCCCCCTCCCCGCCTCCCCACATTTCAACAAATGTAGTAGCATTAAATGTCGCCCCCCCCCCTTCCCGCCTCCCCAAATTGAGACAAAAAACATTAATTTGTTAAATTCTCGGCTCTTTCTTTAAACAACCGACTAATCCATGAATATTCACTGAATTTTTCTCAACAACTAAAGGTCAATGAGAAAACCATAGCTATATACATATACCTAGGTTTTCACCTCAAATGGCAGAATAGCCAATGGTGTTTTCACACAATGTTTTACACAATATTTACACGGAAAGACAACGAAAAGAGAGAGAGAATAGAAGAAGGTAATAATACTATATCGATGGTGTATAGTTATGCTCTAACCACGTAACGGGTGCAAGGGTCAAGGGTCAGAATGCCCTATACTATGTTCGGATAACAAGACTGTGGGCCAACTTTTATGGCGTCTTTTAGCATTTAAGGGAATCAGAAAAGTATATATTTTTTCTTTGGCTATTGAAGAAAAGGATATCTAAAGATAAAATAATAATGATAATGGTGACATTATGACAATAATAATAATTGTTATAATAATAA